AGCTCTTCTGATCATGTTGGTATCTGCTGGAGAAGAGAAGCCACAAATCATTTGCCCCACCAGGATCTCCTGCCACCTCTGAAAGCCTCAGGCTTTAGCTTCCCTTCCTGTAGATGACACTTTCTCTTCCTCTTGGCATGCAGAAGTCCTGAGTATGGGATGCCCTCAGTGACCTTTGGCAGTGTCCACCCCTCTGATGTGTTGGATATGCCTGTGGATCCCAACGAACCCACCTATTGCCTTTGTCACCAGGTCTCCTATGGAGAGATGATTGGCTGTGACAACCCTGATGTGAGAAACATTTTGCCTCAGGATGGGGGGTTGTGAGGGGCATGAAGGGAGCGGGTACAAGAGGGAAAATCCCACAGTTGAGTACTGGAACTTCAGAATAGAAGGAAGATGGGCTGGGCATGGTGGCTCTCGCCTGAAATCCCAGCACTTTGAGAGGCTAAGGCAGGCAGATCACTTGAGGTCAGGAGTTCGAGACCAGCCTGGCCAACATGGTGAAACCCCTTCTCTACTAAAAATACAAAAATTAGCTAGGCGTGCTGGCACACACCTGTAATCCTAGCTACTCGGGAGGCTGAGGCAGGAGAATCGCTTGAACCTGGGAGGCAGGGGTTGCAGTGAGCTGACATTGTGCCACAGTACTCCAGCCTGGACGACAGAGCAAGACTCTGTCTCAAAAAAAAAAAAAAGAAGAAGAAGAAGAAGAAGAAAAGGCCTGATGCATGGCTCATGCCTGTAATCCCAGCACTTTGGGAGCCCGAGGAGGGTGGATCACTTGAGGTCAGGAGTTCGAGACCAGCCTGGCCAACATGGTGAAACCCAGTCTCTACTTAAAATACAAAAATTAGCCAGGCGTGGTGGTGTGTGTCTGTAACCCCAGCTACTCAGGAGGCTGAGGTGGGAGAATTGCTTGAGCCTGGGAGGTGGAGGTGGCTGTGAGCTGAGATCATCATTGCATTCCAGCCTGGGCCACAGAGTGAGATGCCATCTCAAAAAGGAAAAAAAAAAAAAGAATTGAAGGAAAATGGTGGGAACTCGTTGGCCTTGGGACTTCCAAGACTCTCCAAAAGGATGGAGTAAAGGACAGGACATACCTAAGGAATCTGGAGGGGTTTTCTCTCCTTCCTCTGGCCCATCCTGGCCCCTGACTACTTTTTCCTTCTTCCTCTTCCAGTGTTCCATTGAGTGGTTCCATTTTGCCTGTGTGGGGCTGACAACCAAGCCTCGGGGGAAATGGTAAGTGGCAGGAGTTGGAGGGCCCCTAAGGTGAGTGGTAGAGGGCATTCTCCCTTTCACTTACTTTCCTCTCCCCTTCTGTTTTTCAGGTTTTGCCCACGCTGCTCCCAAGAACGGAAGAAGAAATAGATAAGGGCCTTGGATTCCAACACAGTTTCTTCCACATCCCCTGACTTGGGCTAGTGGGCAGAGGAATGCCTGTGCTGGGGCCGGGGGTTCAGGGAGAAGTGGATGACAGTACTGTCATCCCTTCTCCTCCCCTCTCCCCACTCCCGGTGCTGAGGCTGCATCAAACCCTGGTAGGGAGGGGTGCTGCAGCCACTAACGGTATGTGCTCTCCTTCAGTCCTCTCCCTTCAAAGGGACGTGGTCTTAGCCACTGTCCTTTTGCCTCCATGCTGAGGTTGGTGCTGTATTTCAGAGGGAGGGTCCTTTCATTCCCCTTGCTTTGTATTTAAGGACTGGGGCATAGCATGGGGGCAGTCCCCTAGACCTCTTCATTCCCCCTCCTCCTGTGGTGAGGGCTAGGTATGATCAACACTGTCTTCTCCATTCCCTTCCTGCTTTTTTCATGGTGGGGATCCCCCAGGTTATCTAGGCTATGGCCCTAGTTTAAGGGGAACCCCTTCCTCTGTGCCAAGAGGATTCATCCTGGCCTTGTGAATGGGAGAGGGGACAAGGTGGAATGCAGATAACTCACATGTAAAAGGAACTTGGGTAGGTAAATAAAAGCTATACATGTTGGCCTGCTGGTGTTTATCGTATAGACATTGTTTTAGTAAATGTGCTGAGCATTTATTTTTGCATCCGCTGGGTTGGATACGATGTGGGATGATGGCATGCCAGAGTTAGGACATGACGTGAAACCAGAGTGATGCCTCTGCCCAAGAACCCACAAGTTCTCAACTTGGGAAAGACAGAGGTGCTGAAGGGTGGGCCTCAGAACAGGGGTCTCCAAAACTTTGTAAATTATACAGCTTTTCTCCATAAAACATCTTTCACTTAATTTCCAATAAATGATGTATTTCTGTTATACATGTGTACTACTATACTAAATATTAGCTTGATTTCTTCCTTTATTATTATTATTTTTTTTTTTTTTGAGACAGAGTCTTGCTCTGTCACCAGGCTGGAGTGCAGTGGTGTGATCTCAGCTTACTGCAGCTTCCACCTACCAGATTCAAGTGATTCATCTGCCTTAGGCTCCCTAGTAGCTGGGACTATAGGCACGAGCCACCATGCCCAGCTAATTTTTGTGTTTTTAGTAGCAATTGGGTTTCACCATTTTGGCCAGGATGGTCTCGGTCTTTTGACCTCATGATCCACCCACCTCTGCCTCCCAAAGTGCTGGGATTACAGGCGTGAGCCACCATGCCTGGCATGATTTCTTAAAAAAAAAAAAGTGGGTCAGGTGCAGTGGCTCATCCCTCTAATACCAACACTTTGGGAAGCCAAGGCAGGTGGATCAACTGAGGTCAGGAGTTCGAGACCAGCCTGGCCAACATGGCAAAGCCCCATCTCTACTAAAAATACAAAAATTAGCTGGGCATGGTGATGGGTGCCTGCAATCCTAGCTACTGGAGAGGGTGAGGCAGGAGAATCACTTGAACCTGGGAGGCAGAGATTGCAGTGAGCTGAGATTGCACCACTGCTCTCCAGCCTGGGCAACAGAGTGAGACTGTGTGTCAAAAAAACTAAATAGGCCGGGTGAAGTAGCTCCCACCTGTAATCCCAGCGCTCTGAGAGGCCGAGGTGGGCAGATCACCTGAGGTCAGGAGTTCGAGGCCAGGCTGGCTGACATGGTAAAACCCCGTCTCTGCTGAAAATACAAAAATTAGCCGGATTTGGTGGTGCATGCCTGTAATCCCACCTACTTGGGATGCTGAGGCAGGAGAATCACTTGAACCCGGGAGGCGGAGGTCACAGTGAGTGGAGACCAGCCATAATTTTTGTATTTTTAGTAGAGACAAGGTTTCACCATTTTGGCCAGGCTGGTCCTGAACTCCTGGCCTCCAAGAGGTCCACCATCTTCAGCCTCCCAAAGTGCTGGGATTCCAGAAATGAACCACGGTGCCTGGCCTCTATTTTATTTATTTAATTTTTTTATTATTATTTTTTGAAACAGGGTCTCACTCTGTCACCCAGGCTGGAGCACAGTGGTGAGATCTCAGCTCACTGCAGCCTCAACCTCCGAAAGCTCAGGTGAACCTCCTGTCTCAGGCTCCCTGAGTAGTAGCTGGAACAGGCCCACACCACCACACCTGACAATTTTTGTATTTTTTGTAGAGACAGGGTTTCACCATGTTGCCCAGGCTGGTCTGGAACTCCTGGGCTCAAGGGATCCACCCACCTTGACCTCCCAAGTGCTGGGATTATAAGCGTGAGCCACCCAAGTCTGGCCCAAGACAATTTCTTGTTTTATTTTTATTTATTTCCTTTTTTTTTTTTTTTTTTTTTTTTTTGAGGCAGGGTCTCACTTTGTCACCCAGGCTAGAGAGGAGTGGCCAGACTGCATCTCACTGCAGCCTTGACCTCATGGGCTCAAGCGATCCTCCCATCTTGGCCCCCCAAGAAGCTGGGACTACAGGCGCACGCCACCATGCTTGGCTGATTTTTCGTTTTTTTTTGTAGAGACCGGGTTTCACCCTGTTACCGGAGCTAGAATTTCTCATTTTAAACACAAAACACATACAGAAACAAAAGTTCTCCTCCCACACCTCAGTGGATTGTCTTACTCACACCTCCCCCTTGGAAACCACTTTCTTAGACCATTGAGCCACCATCTCGTTTTCGCCTTTGACCCATTTTGCTCATGGGGTGCCCTCTCTAGTTCCTGCCCAGATAGGCTTTGACTTTGTTTTGCGCATTCTGTCTCTGCCTGTGCTCAGCTCTAGACCTCACGACCTGTTGGGCAAGTTTTCCTAACACCTGATTTCTCATTTGTAAAACGAATGATAGTGTATCCACCTTATGGGATTCCTATGGCAAGTAAGGTAGTGCACGTAAAGATGCTAAGTGGCTGCGTGCAGTGGCTCACACCTGTAATCCTGTCCTTTGGGAGGCCAAGGTGGGTAGATCACCTGAGGTCAGCTGGTTCGAGACCAGGCTGGCCAAAATAGTGAAACCCTGTCTCTACTAAAAATTCAAAAAACAGCTGGGGGTGACAGAGGGCGCCTGCAATCCCAGCTACTTGGGAGGCTGAGGTAGGAGAATTGCTTGAACCCAGGAGATGGAAGGTGTAGTGGGCCGAGATCCTGCCACTGCACTCCAGCCTAGGCAATAGAGCAAGACTCTGTCTGCAAAAAAAACAAAAACAAAAAAAAAACTACAAAAATTAGGAGGGGCTCACGCCTGTAATCCCAAAACTGGGAGGCCAAGGCGGGCGGATCAAGAGGTCAAGAGATCGAGACCATCCTGGCCAACGTGGTGAAACTCCGTCTCTACTAAAAACGCAAAAGTTAGCTGGGCATGGTGGCGCGCGCCCGTAGTCCCAGCTACTCGGGAGGTTGAGGCAGGAGAATCGCTTGAACCCGGGACGCAGAGGTTGCGGTGAGCCGAGATCGCGCCACTGCACTCCAGCCTGGGCGACAGAACAGGACTCCGTCTCAGGAGGGGAGGGAAAAAAAAAAGAGGCTAAGCGAAGGTAGCTTTTGCCATCCCTACCATCTCGATCGGCTTAGCCAGCTGAGGGCTCCGCCCGGCTGTCGAGGCCCCTCCCCGGCCGGCTCTTTGTGACGCGTGGGCGAAGCCCGCGTGCGCCCCGCCCCGCCCCGACGCGCGTCTGCCGCTGTCTCCGCGACTTGGCCCGTTAGAGGCGGCTTGGGTCCGCGGAACGGCAGCGAACCTTCCAGGGCCATGAGGAAGCCAGCCGCTGCCTTCCTTCCCTCACTCCTGAAGGGTGAGAGTTTCCACCTGCTCCAGCAGACCCTCCCCGGGCTCAGTCCTCTCCCTCCCGAGAGCCCTGCTTTTATGGTTTCTGGAACGCTTCCTCGTGGTGGTCGTGCTGGGTCTGCTCCGTAGCTCCTGGGATCCTCCCATCTTCCCCCGCCCCCTGTCGGACCTTTGCCTCCGTCTCTAGAATCCCCTCACCCTGGTCAGCCGGGATAACCCGCCCGAGACCCCTGTTCCTAATTTGCCAGTCTGGGTCTGTCTGCCCTGGTCCCGGAGCGGGTTTTGGGGTTCGGTCCTTCCATCGCCCGTTCGCCCGCTCCGCAGTGCTGCTCCTGCCTCTGGCACCTGCCCCAGCCCAGGATTCGACCCAGGCATCCACTCCTGGCAGCCCCCTCTCTCCCAGCGAATACGAGCGCTTCTTCGCACTGCTGACACCAACCTGGAAGGCAGAGACTACCTGCCGTCTCCGTGCAACCCACGGCTGCCGGAATCCCACACTAGTCCAGCTGGACCAATATGAAAACCACGGCTTAGTACCGGATGGTGAGGGCCAGATTTGTGGCCAAGACACCCAGGGTGTTCACCCAAACCTCAGGGCAAAAGCCCTGTGCTCATGTGAGGCGGGGAAGGGCATGGCTGGCACCACCTCACCCTGAGCTCATAGGCTCCACCCGCCCCACCCTCCCCATGGTGTGGAGTCCACTGCTCCAGCCCTGCCCCGAGCTCCCCCTGTGGGTTCATCTTCTCCATCCCTGCCCTTTCTCAGGTGCTGTCTGCTCCGACCTCCCTTATGCCTCCTGGTTTGAGTCTTTCTGCCAGTTTACTCAGTACCGTTGCTCCAACCACGTCTACTATGCCAAGGTGAGGCCCAGGACAAAGATTGGATCTGGTCTCCCAGGGCCAAGGGAGAGGTGGCAGGAGTGGGAAGTTGAGGAGGGGCTCCAGGAGAGTATTCCTTAGCGCCTCCTTCCCTGCCATTTTGCCAGTCATTTACCCAGATTATAGATGAATACAGTCTCACCTTGGACCTTCAGATTGAATAATTCTGTTACTACAAGAAAAGTAGGGAAGAGACTGGGCATGGTGGCTCATGCCTATAATCCCAGCACTTTGGAAGGCAGAGGTGCGCAGATCACCTGAAGTCAGGAGTTCAAGACCAGCCTGGCCAACATGGTGAAACCCTGTCTCTACTAAAAATACCAAAAAAAAAAAAAAAAAATTACCTGGGCATGGTGGTGGGCACCTGTAATTCCAGCTGCTTGGGAGGCTGAGGCAGGAGAATCACTTGAGCCGGGGAGGCAGAGGCTGCAGTGAGCCGAGATCATGCCCTACCCTCCAGCCTGGGTGACAGAAGGAGACTGTGTCTCAGAAAAAAAAAAAAAAAAAGTAGGGAAGAGGGTTGGGAAGAGGCCAAGAGATAAGCCCTTCTATTTCTTCAAACAGGTCAATGATTTTGAGTCAAATGCAAAAGTGACAGAAGGGATGTGGCCCAGACAGAGGTTTATCTTCTGAAAGGACCCCTTCTCAGGTGTAGAGGCTTCCAGCAGGGACCATGTCTCTTTATCCCTGCCTAGAAACTGTGAGAGATGAGACATGCTGGAAAAGGGACTGAGGAACCAGCTGGACCTGCTTCTTTGGGAAAGGCTTTCCCATTTTCCTTCTCTTCCTGCAGAGAGTCCGGTGCTCCCAGCCAGTCTCTGTTCTCTCACCTAACACTCTCAAGGAGATAGACACTCCAGCTGAAGTCTCATCCACCACGATGACCTCCCCCATCTCACCCCACTTCACAGGTGAGACCCTCTCAGCCGCTGAGAGACCACTAGCTACTCCTCTCCCGATTCCCAGAGCCCACAGTGTAAGGCATCCATGCAAGGAAATGGGAAGCATGTTGTGTGGGAAGGGGGCGCCAGCAGACAGCTGTTTACACAAGGGAGCGTCAGCTTTTTATGAATGTAAGTTAGGGCTCTCCTGGACGAGTATCTCTTCTGCCATTACTTACAACTTTGCCCTGAATCCATTTTTCCCAATTCCAAAGACTTTGTTGCATTGGAAGGCCTCTGGGCCATTTATAAACTAACATCTTCATTTTAAAAAGGATCAGCTGCTAGCTACTCAAATACTTGGTGTTTCCTAAGGGAGAGGGGAAAAGGTGGCATTTGAGATGGAAGTTAGGGAAGAGGAGTGCTTGCTGGGGAGGTGACGCGTACCACCAACCTCACACCGCCATAAGAATGTTCTTTTAGTTGATTACCTATATTCTTTTCCATGTATATAAGTGTGACTTGGTCTGCTTTGTTTCTGTGTGTGTCCCTCTGTGAACAAAGACACTCAGGGCACGCGTCTCTTTCCCTTCTCTCTAAACCCTGCTGTAGCGACAGAACACCAGGCCTTCCAGCCCTGGCCTGAGAGGCTTAACAACAACGTGGAGGAGCTCCTGCAATCCTCCTTGTCCCTGGGAGGCCAGGAGCAAGCGCCAGAGCAGAAGCAGGAGCAAGGAGTGGAGCACAGGCAGGAGCCGCCGCAAGAGCATAAGCAGGAGAAGGGGCAGGAGCCAGAGCAAGAGGAGGGACAAGAGGAGGAGGGACAGCAGGAAGAAGGACAGGGGACGAAGGAGGGACTGGAGGCTATGTCTCGGCTGCAGACAGACTCGGAGCCCAAGTTTCACTCTGAATCTTTATCTTCTAACCCTCCCTCCTTCACTCCCCGGGTACGAGAAGTGGAGTCTACTCCTATGTTGATGGAGAACATCCAGGAGCTCATTCGATTAGCCCAGGAAATGGATGAAATGAACGAAATATATGATGAGGAATCCTACTGGAGAAGCCAAAAACCTGGCGGGTATAGGAAGTTCCGACTCTCTCTTCCACCCTGTCCTCCCTTCTGCCTTCCTTGGGAGTGAGAAACCCTTTTCCTAGCATCAGCCTCCAGATCCGCTCAGACCTGTCTGGGCATCAGGCACAGCTAGCAGCCGCCTGCCTCGCCCGTTCTGTGCCTGCTGTTGGCTTAAGCGCTGCCCAAATGCTTATTCTCTATGTAAGCCCTGTACATGGAGCTACCAGACTTGGGTTCTGGTCTTGTCTCTGGCCCTGCTTAGCATTGCAATTCTGAGAAAGTTATTTCTCCTTTCGGATCCTCAGTTCCTCATTTGTAAAAGGGGGCAATTTGTCCAAAGGCCTCTAAGGCCCCATGCTAAGCATGCTGAATGCGTGTGACCAAGAGCAGAGACTAAGGGAAGGGAGGAGGGCGGAGGTAGTTTCCTGCCCCGGCCACCTGGTCCAGCCCCACCTGGTCCAGCCCCACCATCAGTGCTGTCTTCTTGCAGCCTCCTGCAGCTGCCCCACACAGAGGCCTTGCTGGTGCTGTGCTACTCAATTGTGGAGAACACCTGCATCATAACCCCCACAGCCAAGGCCTGGAAGTACATGGAGGAGGAGGTCCTTGGTTTCGGGAAGTCGGTATGCCCACCATACTGTCTAATGGATACGTGCCACTGGGCATCCTCTGGGCCCGGCACTGTGCTAGTCTGTGGGAGTGGAGCACGGGCAGAAGCATGAGGCATAGCTGGACAGATTCTCTCCAAGTGGGACACACTTCTTGGGAAGGACATCACCAGTCCACCTTAAAGGAAGAAGGCTCAAGACCCAGTCTGGAATCCAATTCAGTCCAGAATTCATTCTTCACCTTCCTGAGTTGCCAGGATTCCAGATTTCACCTTTTTTTTTTTTTTTTTTTTTTTTTTTTTTTTTAAGATAGGGTCTCCTTCTATCACACAGGCTGGGGTGGGGAGTGGCGCGATCATGGCTCATTGCAGCCTTGACCACCTGGGCTCAAGTGATTCTCCCATCTCCAGCCTCCCGAGTAACTAGGACTACAGGCATGTGTCACCATGCCTGGCTAATTTTTTTAATTTTTTGTATAGATGGGGTCTCGCTTTGTTGCCCATGCTGGTCTTGAACTCCTGGGCTCAACCCATCCTCCTCCCTCAGCCTCCCAAAGTGCTAGAATTACAGGCATGAGCCACCATGCCCAGCCTTAAGTCAACTGTTGATTCTTGATACAGTTCACCATCTTCCTAGCTTTGCCTTAGATGCAGCTCTTCTTTCCAGAAAGTTCATAGAACCCATTCCAGGGAATTTATAAAGAGATTCTAGTCTCCGTGTGTCCTCAACAACCAGCAAGTCTATTCCCAGGAAAATATATTTTAGGTTTTCACAAATAATACAATTTAGCAAACATTTCTCGAGAGCTCAGATCCCTTCCAATTACCTGTTTGTTCAACAAATACTGATTAGGCACAAACTCTACTAGGTATTTGAGAGGTTAGGAGTGCGGGCAATAGAGTCAGTCCTCTGTCCTCATGGAATCTAGGGTGGGAGACGGACAAGGAAATACGCAGGACGGTGTGATGGGATCAGCGCTGTAGCAGGGATAGGCGCAAAGTGTAGAGACAGATGGGGCGGGTGGGGGACAACTCTCCATGTTTGGGAGGATCAGAGGGTGCTTCCAAGAGGAACTCATGTTTAAACCGAGACTTGAAGATTAAAGAAGTGAATCTAGGCAAAAGAAGGGGCCTAGTAGAAGATTCCTGGTAGAGGGAGTAGTATGTGCAAAGGCGCTGATGCAAAGAAGAGTGGAAATGGCTGGGCACGGTGGCTCACGCCTGTAATCCCAGCACTTTGGGAGGCCAAGGCAGGTGGATCACCTGAGGTCGGGAGTTCGAGACCAGCCTGACTAACATGGAGAAACCCCATCTCTACCAAAAATGCAAAATTAGTGGGGTGTGGAGGCACATGCCTCTAATCCCAGCGACTTGGGAGGCTAAGGCAGGAGAATCACTTGAACCTGGGAGGCGGAGGTTGCGGTAAGCCAAGATTGCGCCATTGTACTCCAGCCTGGGCAACAAGAGCAAAACCCCTTCTAAAAAAAAAAAAAAAAAAGGCTGGGCGCAGTGGCTCAAGCCTGTAATCCCAGCACTTTGGGAGGCCGAGGCAGGTGGATCACGAGGTCAAGAGATCGAGACCATCCTGCCAACATGGTGAAACCTCGTCTCTACTAAAAATACAAAAATTAGCTGGGCATGGTGGTATGTGCCTGTAGTCCCAGCTACTCAAGAGGGTGAGGCAGGAGAATTGCCTGAACCCAGGAGGCGGAGGTTGCGGTGAGCCGAGATCGCGCCATTGCACTCCAGCCTGGGTAACATGAGTGAAACTCCGTGTCAAAAAAAAAAAAAAAAAAAAAAGATAGAGGAGAATTTTTTTTCTTATTTTTTTGAGATAGTGCTTTACTCTGTCACCCAGGCTGGAGTGCAGTGGCATGATCACAGTTCACTGTATCCTTGACCTCCCAGGCTCAGGTGATTCTCCTACCTCAGCCTCTCCAGTAGCAGGGACTAGAGGCAGGCACCACCACACCTGGCTCATTTTTTGTATTCTTTTGTAGTGACAGGGTCTCGTCATGTTGCCCAGCTGATCTCAAACTCCTGGGATCAAAGCAATCCATTTCAGTCATCCAAAGTGCTGGGATTACAGACATGAGCCACCGCAAAGAGTAGAAATTTTATGAGTGAAATTAGAATGCTTACAATGAGCATACTGTCTGCTCTTAAGGGGCCAAGAACCCACGAGGAGGTTAATATGGATACAGTAATATTACAAAAGGAAGGTGGTTGGTGAGGTTCTTAAATAAAATGTAAGAAGTTCAGGGTTTTATGGAGGGAGCTCACTGGATTTGATGGCTTAGATAAGAGGACAGTAAGAAGTGAGTCCCTTTTACCTGGAGCAGAGCAGCAGGAGACAGAGTCAAAGAGATCAACAGGGTCATGATGCAAAAACTCTTGAATCGTGGCCAAGAGAGGTGGGCTCACGCCTGTAATCCCACCCACCACTTTGGGAGGCCGAGGAGGGTGGATCACGAGGTCAAGAGATCGAGACCATCCTGGCCAACATGGTGAAACCTCATCTCTACTAAAAATACAAAAATTAGCTGGGCATGGTGTAGTCCCAGCTACTCGAGAGGCTGAGGCAGGAGAATCACTTGAATCCAGGAGGCGGAGGTCGCAGTGAACCGAGATTGTGCCACTGTACTCCAGCCTGGCGACAAAGCGAGACTCCGTCTCAAAAAGCAAAACAAAACAAAAACTCTTGAATGGCAACATGAGCATTTGCATTTAATTTGATAGGAAAGGGGAATCCAATAAAGATTTTTGGTCAGGGACATGATGTCTCCCTTATGGGGGAGGAGTAGGCAAGGTGCTGTAGGAGATTTCATGCACTGTGATGGGCTGTGCCCACCAGGGAGGAAGGAGGACCATGGGATTGACTAGAGATGCTGCCTAGCAAGATCTCCTGCTAGTACTGAGGAAGCTCAATCAGGGCAGAGTCCAGCTGGTAGATGGGTAACTCCACTCTGAAGAGCATCTTCCAAGAACTTGGAGGTTTCCAACCCAGGTGTTTGAGTAGAGCAGAGGTTTTAGAGTTGGAAGGACCTGGACCCATGTCCCAGCTTCCCTGTCTGTTAGATAGGTGGGTTTGAGCAACTTACTCAACCGCACTTACGGGCGCGGTGGCTCACGCCTGTAATCCCAGCACTTTGGGAGGCCGAGGCGGGTGGATCACGAGATCAAGAGATTAAGACCATCCTGGTCAACATGGTGAAACCCCGTCTCTACTAAAAATACAAAAAATCAGCTGGGCATGGTGGCGCATGCCTGTTATCCCAGCTACTCAGGAGGCTGAGGCAGGAGAATTGCCTGAACCCAGAAAGCGGAGGTTGCGGTGAGCCGAGATCGCGCCATTGCACTCCAGCCTGGGTAACAAGAGCGAAACTCCGTCTCAGAAAAAAAAAAAAAAAAAGAATTAGATTCCTCGTCAGTAAATGAGAGCAGTATTAGCACCTCTGCTGTTACAGGGTTCTTGTGAAAACTAAATGAAATGAGAGCATTTATAGCCATGGTGCTGGCACTGTGTCAACTCTTTGTAAATATTAGCATTTCATTGGCAGAGGTGGGAGGGGAAGGTTATGCATTCTTTTCAGATAGGCTAAGTTGGGGTAACTAGATCACATGGTCACGATCACAGACATCTGTCAGGCACTTGGCAAGGAGGATTTGGAGACCAGGCAAGAGGTCGGAGCTCGCTACTCCTATCTTTGGGTGTCACCTACAGGTAGATGAAGGTTACCTGGGAGTAGATAAATCATCCAGGAAGAGGGTGAAGAAACCGCTGAGGCAAGGCCCTTGAGGAGGGGATAAGTAGAAAGGCCAGAGAAGCTCTTGGAAGAGGCTGAGTGCAAAGACATTCGGCAGGGCCCACCCTGGAGGGCTGGGTCGTGGGAGAAGGCAGGCCCCTGACTTTCAGCCTCAGCCTCACCCATTCTCCTGCCCCAGGTCTGTGACAGCCTTGGGCGGCGACACCTGTCTACCTGTGCCCTCTGTGACTTCTGCTCCCTGAAGCTGGAGCAGTGCCACTCAGAGGCCAGCCTGCAGCGGCAGCAATGTGACACCTCCCACAGGACACCCTTTATCAGCCCCTTGCTTGCCTCCCAGAGCCTGTCCATCGGCAACCAGGTACCTAGCCCGGCAGCCTGCGGTGCGAAAGGCAGAACTGCGTGGCGGGGGTGGGGGGGGAGGAGCCAGCAGGAGGGGAGGGACACGCACCTCTCCCCTGTCTCCTGTGCCACAGGTAGGGTCCCCGGAACCCGGCCGCTTTTATGGGCTGGATTTGTACGGTGGGCTCCGCATGGACTTTTGGTGTGCCCGGCTTGCCACAAAGGGCTGTGAAGATGCTCGAGTCTCTGGGTGGCTCCAGACTGAGTTTCTTAGTTTCCATGAAGGGGACTTCCCCACCAAGGTCAGAGCCTTCCCCAACCTCAGCCCCATCCCCACCCTCACCCGTTCCTTCCAGTTACTTGCTCTAGGTTAGCCCTAGTTTGCGGAAGGGGGCTTGGGCCCCTGGGTTCCGAGAACCAGTCTTCACTGAACCTCCTGCCTCCTTCCAACAGACCATTGCACCCCACCCCACCCCCACCGATAGAGCATGCAAAGGAGTAGGGACCCGGAGCGCTGAGAAAGCACAAGCGCTGGAGCTTCTGGTCCCAGCTCTGCCAGTTACTTGCTGAGTGGCTGTGATCAAATCATTTCCAGCTCAACCAAAGTTAGAGTCATTTCTACAAGGAAAGACTAAATGACTCCTACACGGCTGCCCAACCCTGTGAGCCAGGACTTCCCCGCCTCAGCCCAGTGGGCTCTTCCCAGCTCTTCCAGTGCTTTCCCTGCCCGATGAGATCAACTTGGCTCCCTGCTCCCCTGAGTTACCTCCCCTGTGGAATGCCCTGTTGTTACCGAGAGTCAGGCCTCTCCTGTAGTTAGCAGGGAAAACCAAGGCAAGGAAAAGGAAGGGCAGCTGAAGCAAGGGCTGGCAGCTGAGTTGAGGGGCCCATGCCCAGCTCTTGTCCTAGGCCCCTTGATCTGGAATGGGGAAGCGAGGTCCAAAGAAGGAAGTGACTCACCCTGTCACACATTGCAGATTCTCTCCCCCTTCCTTCATCTACTTACCAGAAAAAAAATCCCTGACATCAGGCCGCTAATTGGGTCCCTGTCCCATGTTCTAGACCCTTATCTGCCCCGCCCTGCCTTGTTCCCCCTTTCTCAGCCACTTTCCCTGTGAGCTGAGCGGTAGCCTGGTACTCTCCCAGGCTCCTGGCTTCTTCCCAGCAACCTGTGGCAGAGACGGAGGGGAAAGGCAGAGGGAAGGCAGAGTGAGGGGCCCCCAGATGTGGAAGGCCTGGGTCTCAGGCCACACCCTGCCCCTGGCTCTGCCCTAGCAGATACTCCCTGGAGGGCCGCTGTCTGGTGAGGCTTCTGATATCCCCCTCCCTCTCCTTGGCTCTTGGCTTAGATTTGTGACACAGACTATATCCAGTACCCGAACTACTGCTCCTTCAAAAGCCAGCAGTGTCTGATGAGAAACCGGAATCGGAAGGTGAGCACCCCTGCCCTGCCCCTACTTCTTCCAGTAACTCCTCCGTCAGGCACCACAGCTGCTCTATTCTGAGGCCCCCTCTGCGAGCAGCTAGGATGTGGAGAGCAGCTCCCTGCTTGCATCTCTGGGGCAGAGGCCTCCACCAGCAGGCTGTCCTCCACTCCTCCAGTCCTGGAGGAGGCAAGGCCCTCCCAGGCGGGTGGTGGATGACAGAGGAGGGCCCTGAGAGCACCACAGGAAGAACCCTGGGCTGGGCTGGGAATTGGACGTTGAAGTCTTGGTCTCTGTCTCCTGTTCTTACTCACCAAGTGGCCTGGGATGAGGCACTTCCCCCGCAAGCCTCAGCCGCCTGTTTCTGCAGGAAAGGGGTCAGGCTGCTCGGCGGCCCCTCTGGCTTTAAAAACCCCAAAATTAGCTGGGCATGGTGGCGCGTGCCTGTAATCCCAGCTACTCAGGAGGCTGAGGCAGGAGAATTGCCTGAACACAGGAGGCGGAGGTTGCGGTGAGCCGAGATCGCGCCATTGCACTCCAGCCTGGGTAACAAGAGCGAAACTCCGTCTCAAAAAAAAAAAAAAACCATCTGAGTTTCCTCCTTCCCTCTATTGCCCTGTGCCCATGCCTGCCTAGCTGTCATTCTTGTGGGCTTCTGACACCTCCCCTCCTCCCCACTCCTAGTGCCTGGCTCTGACACAGGCTGTCTGCACTGAATCCCTGTAGGTGTCCCGCATGAGATGTCTGCAGAATGAGACTTACAGTGTGCTGAGCCCCAGCAAGAGTGAGGACATTGTGCTTCGATGGAGCCAGGAATTCAGCACCTTGACTCTAGGCCAGTTCGGATGAGCTGGCATCTATCCTGTCCGCACCCCAGCCCGACCTGTCCACGTTCTCTATGTTTTTAGACCCCACCTGTCAGTTCGCTTTCAGGCTGCTCCTTCTGGTTCTGTTACTTGGCCCCTACTCACATTTCCTTGGGTTGGAGCAGCAGTCCCAGAGAGGGCCACGGTGGGGGCTACACCCTCCTCAAAAGATGACTTTACATAAACTGTTTATTTTTAGCCTGTGTGGCCTATTTTGGTTGTGATCCCCATCCTCAGCACTGCTACCCTGCCCTGTGGCAGTCAGTCCCTAACCTCTGGTTATACAGATCCACCTGCGGGTGAGAGAATCTCATGGGAATGGTGGTCAGGAAGCATCCATCGGCCAGGAGAAGCAGAAGACCTGAGAACCCAGGGAGCCGGACTGAGGATGGCCAGGGCTGGGGCTGTGGGGATGGTGTGGGCATGAGGGCAGGTGTGACGTCACTGCTGAAGCCCTAAGGCCCATGATGTCAGATGCGAGCGTAATATTGTTCCTCCGAAGGATAAAGGCCAGGGCCTGATGAGATCTTGTCCAAAGGGAGCAATCCCCGGGTATAGGACAGGCACAGCTTGCACTTTATCAGGAAGGGGAAAACCAGGAACTACAGCCTAGATCAGGAAAACTTGGGGGTTTTGTCTGTTTGTCTTGTTTTTTGAGACAGGGAAGTCTCACTCTGTGACCCAGGCTGGAGTGCGGTGGCGTGATCACCCACTGCAGACTCGACCTCCTGGGCTCCAGCGACATTCTCACCTCAGCCTCTTAGATACTTGGAACCACCAGAATGCACCACTATGGCCGGCTAATTCTTAAATATTTTTGGGCCGGGCATGGTGGCTCACGCCTGTAATCCAAGCACTTTGGAGGCCAAGGCAGGCGGATCACCTGAGGTCAGGAGTTCAAGACCAGCCTGACCAACATGGTGAAACCCTGTCTTTAAAAAAAAAAAAAAAAAAATTTTTTTTTGCAGAGATGGGCGTCCTCCATGTTGCACAGGTTGGTCTCGAACTCCTTGGCTCAAGCAATTTTCCCATCTCGGCCTCCCAAAGTGCTGGGGTTACAGGAAGGAAACCCTGGGGGTACAGGAATTTGCCAGATGATCTGGATGTTTAAGTGGCTGCATCTTAACAACCTACATTGAGTGTGACTCCAGCATTGGCCCTTAATAACTTGAAATCTAGCCGGGCGCGGTGGCTCACGCCTGTAATCCCAGCACTTTGGGAGGCCGAGGCGGGTGGATCACGAGGTCAAGAGATCGAGACCATCCTTGTCCACATGCTGAAACCCCGTCTCTACTAAAAATACAAAAAATCAACTGGGCATGGTGGCGCGTGCCTGTAATCCCAGCTACTCAGGAGGCTGAGGCAGGAGAATTGCCTGAACCCGGGAGGCGGAGGTTGCGGTGAGCTGAGATCGCGCCATTGCACTCCAGCCTGGGTGACAAGAGCAAAACTCTGTCTCAAAAAAAAAAAAAAAAAAACTTGAAATCTTCCAGCCAGTCACGGTGGCTCACACCTGTAATACCAGCACTTTGGGAGGCCAAGGCAGGCAGATCACCTGAGGTCGGGTGTTACAGATCGGCCTGACCAACATGGAGAAACCCCGTCTCTACTAAAAATACAAAATTAGCCAGGCGTGGTGGTGCATGCCTGTAATCCCAACTACTTGGGAGACTGAGGCAAGAGAATCACTTGAACCTGGGAGGCAGAGGTTGTGGTGAGCCGAGATTGTGCCATTTGCACTCCGGCCTGGGCAACGAGTGAAACTCTGTCTCAAAAAAAAATAATAGGCCAGGCGTGGTGGCTCACGCCCATAATTCCAGCAGTTTGGGAGGCTGAGGTGGACAGATCACCTGAGGTCAGGAGTTCGAGACCAGCCTGACCAACATGGAGAAACCCCGTTTCTAAAAAAAAAAAAATTTAAATAAATAACTTGAAATCTCCCAAAGTATGTTCAGGGATACTGTAGAAGTCTCCCTTCTACAGGTTCATTGTAATTAACAGCATTTTTTGAAAGCTTGCTTACTATGAGTTCAAATATGGACAAAAATAGAATAGTATAATGCACCCTCATGTACCCTTCACCCAGTTTCCATGATCAACACAAGGCCTATCATTTAACAGCATGTTAAAGGCCCTCCAGAGCTCCATAATAGAGAAACTTGTTTAACCTAGTGCTTCCCAAACTCATTTCACCACAGTCTCCTTTCCACCTGCCACCAAAAGACTTGAACTTGTTTATTAAGCATGGACAACATGCCTGGCCCCATGCCCACGGGGCCCCTCGTCTCTGTGTCCTCTGGCCCAAGGATACAAGACAAGGAGCCAAAGGGAAACACACCTAAGCAAAGAGGAACCATCCAGCCTGGTGACTTCTCGATGCAGGAGCCAAGTGTGCTCAGTGGGAAGCAGGGTCTAGCGGAGTGCTGGCACGCAAGGGCCCCAGGCAGGATGAGGTACAAGCCACGAGTGGCATGGGCTAAACCACCTGGCAGACCCAGGAAAGGAAGAGAGGAAGAGAAACACCCAGGGGGAACCGGTGAGGACAGCGAGAGGCTGGTGGGTTAGTCATCTGGCATCCGATGATGGGTGTGCCAGGAAGAGTTCCCAGACACAGCAGGAATATCTGAACGACAGGTAGGGGGGAGTTCTTAGTCAGCAAGAGTCAGGGCTGGATTGAGTGTCCTTAGCTGCTGGGGTTTCTTCTCTGGCCAGTCTGTGAAGGCCTCTGAGGGCAATGCTTCCTCTTCACTCTCTCCTTGGCCTCTGTGGGGTTGGGTGAGTGCCTGGGCTGGGAGGGATATGCTGAGATCTGCTGAAGTGGGTGTGTCCCCTCCCGCCCCAGGAGCAGGTCCTGCCAGCCCAGCTCAGAGCAGGCAGCGGAAGCCAGCTTGGGGCAGCGCAGAGCCACAAGGAGCACAGGTATGGGGGTGTCATTCGTTGAACGGCACAGGGAGCACAAGGGGCAGCACCCCTCCTGTAGAAATGGAGGACATTGGCGGGGGACAGAGATCAGGGTGGGCATGGGCCCTGGAAAGCCCTGCTGAACAGTGGAAAAAGATGAAAGGAACTGCTTCAAGTAGACAGATCTTTTCAGATGGAGCTGGACAAACAGCTAACATGCCTGCTGTACCCCAGGGGTGCCTCTCTGACACTTGAAGCCCCTACTCTGGGGCGTCTCACAGAGGCTTTGTCCTCCCCCTCCCCCTCTAGGCCCCCACTGTGGTGCTGAACCCTGGGCCTCCGGGGAGGACCCTCTGGGGACTGTTTACACCCTTTTCCCACTCCCAGTTAAACCTCAACCCCTGCGCCACTCATCCCCCAGGGCCCGGCAGATGACAATGAGCTAATCTAATCAAACTCGCAAATGGGTTGTCTAGCACAGATGTGTTCTCAGTGTTATCCTTCCCAACTAGCCAAGATGTACTGTAATGGGGTCTTCAGGAAGTGCTGCCTTAACCCAAAGGGTGCATCTCTATAAGGGGATTAGACTGATGCTCTTTGATGTCCCTATGGCTCTGACAGATTGTGGCTTGAGGGGATGGAATTTTGGAGGTGGGGGACATAACTGGAGGTCAGCAGGGATTTATGATACCTTTGTATCACATGATGAGGATGGGGCCTACCCATTACCTGTGGTTGTGGGGCCCCATGACAAGGAGGGGACCTCCACCAGATTGTATCTCCACAATGCCTCCTTTTTTCCCTTTCCTTTTTCCTTTTTTTTTCCTTTTCTTTCTTTTTGACAGAGTCTCGCTCGGTTGCCCATGATGGAGTGCAGTGGCATGATCTTGGCTCACTACCACCTCTGCCTCCTGGGTTCAACTTATTCTCTGCCTCAGCGTCCCAAGTAGCTGGGATTACAGAAACGCACCACCACGCCTGGCTAATTCTTGGATTTTTAGTACAGACAGGGTTTCAACATCTTGGCCGGGCTGGTCTTGAATTCCTGACCTCGTGATCCACCCGCCTCGACCTCCCAAAGTGCTGGGATTACAGGCATGAGCCACTGCGCCCGGCCTCTGCTAATATTTTGAAATATTTTGTAGAGATGGGGTCCTACTCTGTTGCCCAGGCCAGCAGAAATCCTCCTTTTAGGGTGAGCTAAAGTTGTAGACCTAGGTGGACATGGAGGCAGGGATTAAGGTGAGACAGAAACTTACTCGCATGTGGTATGTGTAAGCCTCACCTCCCGGTCACCCAGGGGCACTAGAGCCCAACTCCATCTGTCTGATGCCATCTGCTCTCTTCACTCTGCCGTCCCCAGTGCATACCCCAAGGCGCACCTGGCAACAGAGATATTTTATGCCCAGGGGCATTTTTTTAAAGCCCAGGAAAATGGCCAGGCGTGGTGGCTCACACCTGTACTCCCAGCACTTTGGGAGGCCAAGACGGGCTGATTACAAGGTCAGGCATTCAAGACCAGCCTGGCCAACATGGCGAAACCTCGCCTCTACCAAAAATACAAAAATTAGCCGGGTGTGGTGGTGGGTGACTGTAGTCCCAGCTACTCAGGAGGCTGAGACAGGAGAATCGCTTGAACCCGGGAGGCAGAGGTTGCAGTCCGCTGAGATTGCGCCACTGCACTCCAGCCTAGGTGACAGAGCGAGACTCCGTCTCAAAAAAACAAAACAAAACCCAGGAGGAGGAGGTGGCAAGAGGGGTGAGGGCTGAAGCCAGTGCACACTATGGTCAAGTGAGGTCAGCAAGGCCTACAGGCTCCAGTGGATTTCCTGAGGAGGCAGGACCTGCCAGGCTATGAGTGAGGGTCAGCTGCACACAGACCACCTCAGGGCACACGTCAGGTGGCTGGGCCTGCCTGCATGGCTTCTCTTGGTTGGGACTGACTTTTGCTTTTCCACCTCTTAAAAGCAGGGTGAGAGGAGGGGCACAATGGCGAGGTGTTATGCGCACATTGGGGAAACTAGTTATTGAGCTGTAGACTACCTTCGCATTCTGCCTTTTCCCACACAAGTGTCAGGAAGGATGAGGTCAGAATATGCAGGGAGGGGAAGCCAGGGCCAAAGATGATGCTGGAAATGCAGGAAGAGACAGGCTTCAGTAGGGAAGGGTGGGGAGAGGTGGGAGCAGGAATTTTGGCTGGAGAAGCAGGCAGGCCTGGGCCAAGGAGGAGGGAAGATGTGTAGGCTCCAGTGACTCCTCTCTGAGGAAGAATGTGGCCCTGGGGCAGAAGGAGGCCTCCCCACTCACCCTGGGGACGTTGTACTGTCCCCAGACCTCTAGGATGAAGGTTTGTCCTCCTGTTCCATCTAGTCTTCCATGTCATCCCTGCCCCTCAGGCGCAGGATAAGTGGAAGAACAGGATTCATCTGTGCCCCGAAGACAGCTCTGGGACAGAGCTTCTCACAAAGGCTTTAGACCGAGCTAAGCTTCTACTGAAGGCTCAGCACAGCTGGCATCTGTTTGGAGGGCCTGGATACAGAGACACTGAGGAGTCTTCATGACGACGCCTGGCTGTGGGGAAAGGGTGCATCCTCCCAACGCTGCCTGAACACAGAGGCAGAGGAAGTAGGCTTCGCTAATTCAGCAAGCGGGTTAGGGTGCACACTAAAGAGGGACTTCCTGTGTCGGGGCTGAGACACTGATGGGCCACGAGACTCTCAAAGGAGGATGGGGCTATTCCAGAGCTGATCCTCAGGAGCAAGGAGGATGGGAAGATGTGAGAATCCTTCTTTTCAGACCTCTGACCCTAAGGAATTGGAGTCCGGAGACCCAGGATGTGAATTATTTGAAAGAGGAGGCAAAGACAGAGCAAGGCATGTGGTGCTTGTGGGGAGGTGGGCAAGGCAGGCAAGGCAGATGGGAGGAACTGGGCAGAGAGGAGGCATTCCCCTCCCCCCCACACCCTTCTCATTGTCCCCAACCCCCTGGTCCTTTCTCCTCAGCTCCCCTCGACATCATTGGTCTGCTGCCAGGGAGGCTGGATACCAGGGCAGGGTGTGTGTGGGAGTGAGGGAATGATCACGATTTTGCCTCCTGCTCACTTTTATACTCTTGTTCTCACTTCCTGCCTCTGGCAGAAAAAAACCCTGCCCCTCTGGCTTATCTCAGCAAAGAGCAGTGCCCAGCCCAGCTCAGAGGGCAAGGGGACAGATCCCAGAGGCCCTGGGGAGGTAAGGAAGCTGGTCCCCGGATGTGTACGTGGGAAGCCGAAGGACAGAGACCCAGGGAGCAGGAAGGTGGCTGCACACACTCTGGTGTGTGAGTGGGGTTGGGGTGGGTGATACGGAAGGAGCAGTCCGGGGGCTTCTGTGTATATGGTGGTCTCTTTGCCCCTGATTGCCTGGGGGTTGAGATCTGCTGTGCTTGTGAAGCCTCCTGGTTCTATGTCTGGCTACGTAAGGATACTGTCCCTAAGGCAGAGGCTTCTTCCTCTTCCTCCCCAGCCCAGTTGTCTGTGTACATACTTGTACATTACAGGATGTGTACAGACACCAATTTGTATGTTACCAGGGATCATGTGTGCACATCTCTTAGCGTGTGTATATGTCTGCATGTCTGTGCACACACATGTGTAGTGAGTGGTATACTTACCTGACATCAGTGGGTGCCGGCGTTTCTGAGGCTACTCGGGAGGCTGAGGCCACCTCCGTGTCCCTCCTTCCTGGTGTTCCTTCTTTTCTGGGGCAGCTGCCGTTTCTTTGATTCCTGCATCTCTCCCACAGCCTGACCTCTTCTTCAAGGCAGGATTTGGGGGAGAAGGTCTGGGCTGCCCCTCCCCCACACCTAGTTTCCCTCCTTCCACTTCCTGTTAGCCTCCTTTTTGGCAGTTTTTTCCATCTTCACCATCTGTCCTGGCACTGTGCCCATTCAGCTCCTGAAGGGGCCCCCGGGCTCGGGGAAGCAGGAGTGTGGGATGAGACGAGGCCAGGGTCCTGGAGGCTCTCAGTGCTCAGCTTGGGCCATTCCGTGTGACTGTGAGAAAAAGGCGCCTTTTTGACAAACAGACTCCTTTAGAAAGAAACCCAGGCCAGGCGCGGTGGCTCACCCTGTAATCCCAGCACTTTGGGAGGCCAAGGCGGGCAGATCACGAGGTCAGGAGCTGGAGACCATCCCGGCCAATACGGTGAAACCCCGCCTCTACTAAAAATACAAAAATTAGCTGGCCATGGAGGCTAAGGCAGGTGAATCGCTTGAACCGGGGAGTCGGAGGTTGCAGTGAGCCGAGATTGCACCACTGTACCCCAGCCTGGAGAAAGTAAGACTGTCTCAAAAACAAACAAACAAAAAAAGAAACCCAGCCAGGTGCGGTGGCTTGCGCCTGTAGTCCTAGCACTTTGGGAGGCCAAGGCGGGCGAATCACGAGGTCAAGAGATCGAGACCATCCTGGCCAACAAGGTGAAACCCCGTTTCTACTAAAATATAAAAAATTAGCCGGGCGTGGTGGTGTGTGCCTGTAGTCCCAGCTACTCGGGAGGCTGAGGCAGAATTGCTTGAAACCAGAAAATGGAAGTTGCAGTGAGCCGGGATCGCACCACTGCACTCCAGCCTGGCGATAGAGCAAGACTCCATCTCAAAAAAAAAAAAAAAGAAATCCAAGATGGGTTGGGGCTGGGTGCCGTGACTCAGGCCTGTAATCTCAGTACTTTGAGAGGCTGAGGCGGGTGGATCACATGAGGTCAGAGTTCAATACCACCCTGACCAATATGGGAAAACCCTTCTCTACTGAAAATACAAAAATTAGCCAGGCATGGTGGTGCATACCTGTAGTCCCAGCTACTCAGGAGGCTGAGACAGAAGAACTGCTTGAACCTGTGAGGTGGAGGTTGCAGTGAGATCGTGCCACTGTACTCCAGCCCAAGCCCCAGGGCTTTTTTTGGAACCTGTTTCCAAAAAAAAAAAAAAAAAAAAAGATGGGCTGGGTTCAGTCGATCATGCATGTAGTCCCAGCACCTAGAAATTTGGAAGGCCGAGGCAGACGGATCATTTAAGGTCTGTAGCTCAAGACTAGCCTAGCCTGGCCAACATGGTAAAGCCTTGTTTCTACTAAAAACACAAAAATTAGGCAGGTGTGGTGGTATGAGACTTAAATCCCAGCTACTCGGGTGGCTGCCACAAGAATTGCTTGCACCCAGGAGTCAGAGGTTGCAGTGAACCAAGATTGTGCTACTGTACTCCAGCCTCCAAACGAAGTGAGGCTGTCTCCAAAAAAAAAAAAAAAAAAAAGAAACCCAAGAACTTCTTCCCTTTGGAATAGAGTAATGAGAGAGCATAGCCATTTCCTTTGCTAAAAAATTCCCAATTTTACCTTTATATTTATTTATTAATGTTTTTTTGAGACAGAGTTTTACTATTCTTGCCCAGGCTGGAGTGCAGTGGCGCAATCTCGGCTCACTGCAACCTCTGCCTCCTGGGTGCAAGTGAGTCTCCTGCCTCATCCTCTTGAGTAGCTGGGATTACAAGTGCCTGCCACCACGCCCAGGTAATTTTTCTATTTTTAGTAGAGACGAAGTTTCACCATGTTGGCCAGGCTGATCTCAAATGCCTGACCTCAAGTGATCTGCCTGCCTCGGTCTCCCAAAGTGCTGGGATTACAGGTGTGTGTCACCACTTGGCCTAACTTTACCTTTAAATAGCTGCTCAATGAATACATCTTGGTCTATTTAACATTGTAACTTTTTCAACAGAAAGATCTGAGATACCACTGTACTGAGAGGTTTAAAAAAAAAAAAAAAGACTTGAGATTGGCCAGGTGTGGTGGCTCATACTTATAATCCTAGCACTTTGGGAGGCCAAGGCTGGCAAATTACCTGAGGTCAGGAGTTCGAGACCAGCCTGGGACACATGGGGAAACCCAGTCTTCTCTACTAAAAATAATTAGCTGGGCATGGTGGTGGGCACCTGTAATCCCAACTACTAGGGAGACTGAGGCAGGAGAATTGCTTGAACCCCAGAGGCAGAGGTTGATGTGAGCCGAGATTACGCCACTACACTCCAGCCTGGGCGAGAGAGAGGGGGACTCCATCTCGAATAAAAAAAAAAAAAGGAAGAGAGAAAGACTTGAGGTTCTTGGAAAATAATCCATCCACTCATTCAGTGTCTAGTATATGCTTCCTAATTGGAAGGATCTACTGGTTCTCCAAGTAATGGTTAAGAACGAACAAGTGATACTGTAATTACAGTGTAAATTTTATTGAAATCTTAGTGCAAGCTGTTTTCAAACAGGTCTTTTAAGGGAAGTGGTTTTTTGGTTGGTTGTTTTTTGAGATGGAGTCTCTGTTGCCTGAGTGTAGTGGCCCAATCTCAGCTCACTGCAACCTCTGCCTCCCGGGTTCTAGTGATTCTTCTGCCTCAGCCTCCTGAGTAGCTGGGATTACAGGTGCACGCCACTATACCCAGCTAATTTTTGTATTTTTAGTAGAGACGGGGTTTCACCATGTTGGCCAGGCTGATCTCCAACTCCTGACCTTGTGATCACCTGCCTCGCCCTCCCAAAGTGCTAGGATTACAGGCATGAGCCACCACGCCCTTTTTTCTTTTTTTTGAGATGGAGTTTCACTCTTGTTGCCCAGGCTGGAGTGCAATGGTGCGATCTTGGCTCACCACAACCTCCACCCCCCAGGTTCAGGTGATTCTCCTGGCACAGCCTCCCGAGTAGCTGAGATTACAGGCATGCACCACCACGCCCAGCTAATTTTGTATTTTTAGTAGAGACGGGGTTTCTCCCTGTTGTTGAGGCTGGTTTCGAACTCCCAACCTCAGGTGATCCGCCCACCTTGGCCTCCCAAAGTGTTGGGATTATAGGCATGAGCCCCCGTACCCAGCCCATCCACCACTTCTTATCACACTCTTTCTTGTCCAAATGTGCAACTCAGTAAAAGACCATTTCCTGGCTGGGTGTGGTGAAATGGGTTCTTTGTAATAACCCACTTCAAATAACCCATTTTATACATTTCCGTTGGACAAATGAGGAAGTGAAATAATGTATCTATGGGCACAGATTTCATAGAGGCAACTATAAAAGACCAGGTGCTCTCTGCAGCATCCATCCATCGCTCTTGCTGGAAGCAGCATCATACAATTTGGATTTTGGAGCTAGGCCGTCCTGGGCTTAAATTCCGGCTTCACTCCTTGGTGCCAAGCTCTTATACTTCTGATTCTTTTCCTTTTAAAATGAGGATAAACACCTACCTCAATGGACTGTTGGAAAGGCTGGAGATCATGTACACAAATTACGATATGGTGATGATAAGTAAATGATAGATATTATTTTTATTTTATTTTTTTCGAAACAGAGTCTCGCTCTGTCACTCAGGCTGGAGTCCAGTGGCGTGATCTCAGCTTACTGCAATCTCTGCCTCCCTGGTTCAAGCAATTGTCTTGCCTCAGCCTCCTAAACAGCTGGGATTACAGGCATGCACCACCACACCCAGCTAATTTTTGTATTTTTTTTGGGACGGAGTTTCGCTCTTGTTACCCAGGCTGGAGTGCAATGGCGTGATCTCAGCTCACCGCAACCTCCGCCTCCTGGGTTCAGGCAATTCTCCTGCCTCAGCCTCCTGAGTAGCTGGGATTACAGGCACGCACCACCATGCCCAGCTAATTTTTTGTATTTTTAGTGAAGACGGGGTTTCACCGTGTTGACCAGGATGGTCTCGATCTCTTGACCTCGTGATCCACCCGCCTCGGCCTCCCAAAGTGCTAGGATTACAGGCTTGAACCACCGCGCCCGGCCCAATTTTTGTATTTTTTAGTAGAGACGGGGTTTCATCATGTTGGCCAGGCTGGTCTCAAACTCCTGACCTCGTGATCCACATCCCTCAGCCTCCCAAAGTTCTGGGAATACAGGCGTGAGCCACTCTGCCCAGCCATGATAGCTATTGTTTTTAACATTTACAGAGGTAGGTGCTGGGAATGCACAGAGATTAATAAACCACAGTCCACAGCCCCTCCCTCTAAGAGCTCACAGTCTAAAGGGAGGGGCAGACCAGGAACAGCTGACTACCGTACTTGTGGGGAGAGCTCTGATAAACCTGTGCACTGTTGCAGAGGGAGATAAGTGAAGGTACCACATCTGCTGTGTGTGGGGAGCAGTCAGGGAAGGCTTTGAGAGCCATGAAAACAGACTAAGCTTGCCAGTTAGAGAATGGGAGGCAGGGTGTTGCAAGTTGAAGAAACAGCACATGTAAAGGCGGAGTGCTGAAAACATAAGGCATCTCCACAATTAGTATTAGTTTGGTGTGCCTGGAGCAAAGGAGCATGGGGCAGGGGAGTGTGTCAGAAATGAGCCTGGTTTTACTTGCATTTCAGCATGTTTAAGTCCCATTTGGTGTTATTTTCGTTGCTGAGATTGGTATTTTGCAAGAAGTATTTCTTTATTCTGTTTAACTGTTTTACTATATTTCTTACAAGTCTCAAACTGCTGGTGGTGGTGGTCGGAGGGAGAACAAAACCAGGTACAAGTAAAACTTGCAGCGGGTACAGTGGCTCATGCCTGTAAGCCTAGGACTTTCAGAGGCCAAGGCAAAATGATTGCTTGAGCCCAGTTCAAGACCAGCCTGGGCAATGCAGTCAGACCCTATTTCTACCAAAAAAAAAAAAAAAAATTTTTTTTCCTTTTTTTTTTGGAGATGGAGTCTTGCTCTGTCACCCAGGCTGGAGTGCAGTGGCACAATCAGAGCTCACTGCAACCTCTGCCTCCTGGGTTCAAGCGATTCTCCTGCCTCAGTCTCCTGAGTAGCTGGGATTACAAGCACTTGCCACCATGCCTGGCTAATTTTTTTGTATTTTTAGTAAAGACGGTGTTTCACCATGTTGGCTAGGCTGGTTTCAAACTCCTGACCTTAAGAGATCCACCCACCTCAGCCTCCCAAAGTGCTAGGATTACAGGCATGAATCACTGCACCTGGCCGTCTACAAAAAACTTAAAAATTAGCCAGGCATGGTGGTGCATGCCTGTAGGTCCAACTACTCAGAGGCTGGGATAGGAAGATCATTTGAATCTGGGAGGTCAAGGCTGCAGTGGGCCGAGATCAAACCACTGCATTCCAGCCTGGACCACGAAGTGAGACCCCATCTCAAAAAAAAAAAAAAACCACCAAACTTGTTATAGTCAGGTTTATGAATTATTTTCTTGCAACTATTTAAACAGTTCGTGTGTGTGCGTGTGTGTGTTATGGAGTTTCACTCTTGTTGCCCAGACGGGAGTGCAATGGTGTGATCTAGCCTCATGGCAACCTCCACCTCCTGGGTTCAAGCGATTCTCCTGCCTCAGCCTCCTGAGTAGCTGGGATTATAGGCATGTGCCACCATGCCTGGCTAATTTTGCATTTTTAGTAGAGACGGGGTTTATCCCTGTTGGTCAGACTGGTCTCCAACTCCTGACCTCAGGTGATCCACCCGCCTCGGCTTCCCAAAATGTTGGGATTACAGGCGTGAGCCACCACGTCCATCCCTAACAGTTCCTTTTGAAAGGAATAAGCTCAGTGTCTTGGGATAGTTGCTCAGGGTCTCAGAGACAGCTTCTCTCCCTAAGATGACATTTAGACACCCATGTTCACGGTGGCATTCTTCACAATAGCGTAAAGCTAAAAACAACCTAAGTATTCACTGACAGAAATGGATGAGCAAAATATTATATAATGAAATACATTACTCAGCTATAAAAATGAAATTGCAAGCCGGGCACGGTTTCACCATGTTGTCCAGGCTGATCTTGAACACCTGATCTTAGATGATCTGCCCTCCTCAGCCTCCCAAACTGCTGGAATCACAGGCATGAGCCACCTCGCTCGGCCACAACACTGTGAGTGTACTTAATGACACTGCATTTTACATTTTAAAATGATAAATGTTAGCTAGGTGCAGTGGTGCATGCCTGTAAGTCCCAGCTACTTGGGAGGCTGAGGTGGGAGGATCATTTGATTCCAAGAGTTCAAGACCAGCCTGGGGAACACAGTTAAGACCCTATCTCAAAAAAAAAAAAATTATAGGCCAGGTGTGGTGGCTCATACCTGTAATCCAAGCACTTTGGGGGCAGATAACCTGAGGTTAGGAGTTAGAGACCAGCCTGGCCCACATGGTGAAACCCCATCACTATTAAAAATACAAAAAAATTAGCCCGGCGTAGTGGCACATACCCGTAATCCCAGCTACTCAGGAGGCAGAGGCAGGAGAATCGCTTGAACCCAGGAGGTGGAGGTTGCACTGACCCAAGATCTTACCACTGCACTACAGCCTGGGTGACAGAGGGAAAGTTTGCCTCAAAAATATATACATATAAATGTTCAGTTATGTATATTTTACCATACACACACAAAAGAGAAGGTACGTGGGGCTGAAGTGGAGCGGTAGTTTCTATGGCGTTATGCATTGAGGAAGGTGGCTTCCCTCAGACTGTCCTTTCCTCTGGCTCCTCCATCTCCTGACCACATCCTTTGTCAATTTTTGCCTGAGGACTGCAGCTGCTGCGGTTTCCCCTCTGGCAGCCTCGTCAGCACCAGTGGTACCCTTCCTCACCTCACCTCTGTGATCTCCTTTGATCACTCACGACCAAATCACCATCTCCCTGGTACCACAGAGCCTCACCTGGGATTAGACCTGCTAGGGGAGCACCTGGCAAAACTCAACCCACAGTACCTTCTCCTGCCTAGCAAAACTGTGCTGTTAAATTTATTCACATGTGGCTCTGGTCAAGACTAGCATGCAATCAGCCTATGAGGGCACTGTTATATAATAATTCCCATTTTACAGATGAAGCAACTGAGAAGTCCAACCATTAAGCTGAACCCAGTTTGCTTTGACCAAAAATCCAGCCCACATAGGTGCCATGGTGGATGTGATGAGTAAGGCTGGGATTTTGTTTGGTACTCGGGAGTTTTGTTTATTTATTTCCTTGTCTGAGATGGAGTCTCACTCTGTCACCCAGGGTGGAGTACAGTGCCGCGATCTCAGTTCACTGCAACCTCCACTTCCCAGGTTCAAGCGATTCTCCTGCCACAGCCTCCCATGTACTCAGGAGTTTGAACTTTATTCTTTGGATAATGAGGAGCTAGTCTAGTACCAGGTCCAGGGAGGTACTCCATAAGACAACCTATTGATTTGTGCTTATCATCTGCCTCCCTCCTGAATGCAAAGGAGGTGGAAGCCAAGCCTTTTTGTTTTGTTCCCTGCTGTGAACATGCCTGGAACCTTCTATAAGCTCAGTAAGCAAGTAAAGAAGGAAGGAAAAGATCTTGAGATAGTAACAGCAACCTAAGCATTTTACATACATCATCTTTTTCCCTTTTTTCTTTTTTTTTTGAGACGGAGTCCTGCTCTGTCCCTCAGCCTGGAGTGCAATGGCACAATCTCGGCTCACTGCAACCTCCGACTCCCCGGTTTAAGCAATTCTCTTGCCTCAGCCTCCCAAGTAGCTGGGATGACAGGCAACTGCCACGACAATGCCCAGCTAATTTTTCCTGGCTGATTTTTTTGTATTTCTAGTAGAGATGGGGTTTCTCCATGTTGGCCAGGCTGGTTTCGAACTCCTAACCTCAGGTGATCCACCCGCTTTGGCCTCCCAAACTGCTGGGATTACAGGCGTGAGCCACCGTAGCTGGCCCTGTATTTTTTTTGCAGAGACGGGGTCTTCCCATGTTGCCCAGGCTGGTACCCAACTCCTAGGTTCAAGTGATTGGTCTGCCTTGGCCTCCCAAAGTGCCAGGATTACAGGTGTGAGCCACTGCACCCAGCCAAGATTAATTTTTCTGAAGTCACACAACTAGCCAAGTTAGCAACACGAAGATTTCAACCTAGGCATCTGAGTCCCTGCCTTCAAGTCTAGGTGTTTAACACTGTACTATATAGTCCTGCTGCAGGAACGTATTCTGACCCAATGGCAGACTTGATGCAAAGAAAAGACTCAGAAGGCCTGCCAGTGTAGCTAAACATTTGTGTGTGCAGCCCTGTCTCTGTGTAACTTCTGGCTTGCCTTCCTATTCCAGGTCTCCGCTGCTGATGAAGCCGTGACCAAGCGCACCCACCACTTGGCAGCCATCTCTCCCTGCAGCCATAGTCCACATTCCCATGCCCCGCGTCTGCTTGTTTTGGGACCATCTCTGTGCAGCCTCTAGGCCCCAGCCCCGGAGGTGAATGCCATGCCCTGACCCTGGTGTGCCCCATGGCATCCCCAACCTAGCTCCCATTACAAATTTGGCACGATGTCAGCAAACACCTCAACCAACAGTTCTGTTATCGAGTGTCCTGACTACCGACCTACCCACCGCCTGCACATGGTGGTCTACAGCTTGGTGCTGGCTGCCGGGCTCCCCCTCAACGCGCTGGCCCTCTGGGTCTTCCTGCGCGCGCTGCGCGTGCACTCGGTGGTGAGCGTGTACATGTGCAACCTGGCGGCCAGCGACCTGCTCTTCACCCTCTCGCTGCCCGTGCGCGTCTCCTACTACGCACTGCACCACTGGCCCTTTCCCGACCTCCTGTGCCAGACGGCGGGCGCCATCTTCCAGATGAACATGTACGGCAGCTGCATCTTTCTGATGCTCATCAACGTGGACCGCTACGCCGCCATCGTGCACCCGCTGCGACTGCGCCACCTGCGGCGGCCCCGCGTGGCGCGGCTGCTCTGCCTGGGCGTGTGGGCGCTCATCCTGGTGTTCGCCGTGCCCGCCGCCCGCGTGCACAGGCCCTCGCGCTGCCGCTACCGGGACCTCGAGGTGCGCCTATGCTTCGAGAACTTCAGTGATGAGCTGTGGAAGGGCGGGCTGCTGCCGCTCGTGCTACTGGCCGAGACGCTGGGCTTCCTGCTACCCCTGGCGGCGGTGGTCTACTCGTCCGGCCGCGTCTTCTGGACGCTGGCGCGCCCCGACGCCACGCGGAGCCAGAGGCGGCGGAAGACGGTGCGCCTCCTGCTGGCCAACCTCGTCATCTTCCTGCTGTGCTTCGTGCCCTACAACGCCACGCTGGCGGTCTACGGGCTGCTGCGAAGCAGGCTGGTGGCGGCCAGCGCCCCTGCCCGCGATCGTGTGCGCGGGGTGCTGATGGTGATGGTGCTGCTGGCCGGAGCCAACTGCGTGCTGGACCCGCTGGTGTACTACTTCAGCGCCGAGGGCTTCCGCAACACCCTGCGCGGCCTGGGCACTGCGCACCAGACCAGGACCTTGGCCACCAACGGGACGCGGGAGGCGCTCGCGCAAGCCGAAGAGTCCGTCACCACCGACGCCACCAGGCTGGATGCCGCCAGTCAGGGGCTGCTCCGACCCTCCAACTCCCACCCCCTGTCTTCCTTCACACAGTGTCCCCAGGATTCGGCCCTCTGAACGCACATCATGCGATAGCGCCGTCCGTGCCCGACCCCCGGCGCCTCTGGTTCTGGGAGGTTTTCAGGGTGTGCACACAAGAAGGTGGGCTGGGCCACTTGGATCTTTGGCTGGCAACTCCAGCTTAGGAACGCAGACGAGTACAAAGTGTGGAAGCCAGGGCCCGGGGAAGGCAGTGCTGCTGGAAACGGCCTCTTTAAACTGTGAGCGCGCAGAGGACCCCTTCTCCAGAGGTGGGAAGTGATGCAGAGAGCCCACCCGTGCAGAGGGCAGACGAGGACAGAATGCCTACTGGTGGACGGGGCATTAAACTGCTAAAAGCTGGTTAAATGGAACAAAATGAGCATTCTGGATTTAAACCACCACAGGGGCCTGAGAGCTGAAGAACCCCAGGTTGGATGGACCAAGCCACTAAGATGCCTGTTCATCTGCCGCCTAGGGTCATGGATGCCACCCACTTTCATTTCTGCCTAGGCTTCCCCTCCTCACCATTGAGAGTTCCATATGGACAGAACAAGGTTCTTTCTCACTTAGTGACTTGTGACAATTTAGACCTGGCATCTGGCATGGGGCAGTTGGGGCAGGGCAAAACTGACTTGTTTCCCCCTCGCCAAAATTCAAGTCCAAACTCTTTTTTACGTTAAACTTTCTTCCACCACGCCCCTTTTCAGGGCCTCCTCCATTCTAGGTCCTTAATATGCTGTCTCTCTCTGCTTCGTCCAGAGCAAGGAGAAAATTCTTTCTACTAAAGCACTGGTTCTCAAACTTTGGTCTTAGACCCCTTTACACTCTTAGAAATTGAGGATCTCAAAGAGCTTTGCTTATATTTTGTTCTTTTGATGCTTGCCATACTAGAAATTAAAGCAAATACATTTTTAAAACAAATACACAAGCACACATTCCATTAGCCATGAGAGCAATAATGTCATCACACACACTTCATGAAATCTCTGGAAAACTCTACAGTATACTTGTGAGAGAATGAGAGTGAAAAGGCCAAATAACATCTGTGTAGCAGTATTATGAAAATAGCTTGACCTCGTGGACTTCCTCAAAGGGTTGGTCCCTGGATCACACTTTGAGAACCATACTTGTCCTGAAGTATTAGAGTTCATGGCTAACTTCTTCCCAGGGTATTATATACAGTGCTTTTTATTACTGTGGGGAGACGGCAGTGCTAAACAAATTAATTACTACTGATAGTCTTCATCTGCAGCCCTAGGAGTAGTGCATCAAATGGAACACTACCCTGGGCATATCAGATTAGCAGCCCTGGGACGGGGGTGGGAGACTGGGGGGTGGAACTAGTCACACACTCAGTGGGAGAGAATGGGGCTTCTCTGGGTGAGGGAAAAGGGAACTGTGCCACAGCCAGGAGAGAAGAGTTTATGGGTAAGTTAAGAGTGAGATGGAAGGACAGGAATGGTCTGTCCGTTCTTAGCATGCTGGAAGCAAAGGAAATGGGCCATCTACTATTCCTTCCCTCTTTACCCAAGTTGGGGGCTCTGAGAGGCTGCAGAGTTGGCGCTTATGGACATCTTCAGACCCTGACATTACTGAGGGAGTGTTTGCCCTGTGTGCGTCCCATTGCATTTCTGTCCCTGTGTCTCAATATTGTATTTTTATCTGTGTGTGTGTGCGCGCACTGTGTGTACGATCGAGAAAGAGAAAGAGTGAGAGTGTCAGGGTTTTTCTCCGTGTGTGTCTGCGTTTTAGTCCAGGGTAGCCTTTTGTGTGTGCCTTTATGCGGAGTGCTCCAGATGGTGATTTACAGAGGTAAAATGACCCCTGGTGGCTAAACCAGAGAACTGACCCAGATTCCTCAGGGATAGCCATGAAATCCGGGCCTTTCTCCATCTGGGTGGAGGCTGGAGGCTGGAGCCTGGAGCACAACACTTATCTCCAGCCGCAGTGGAAGAGGCCTGGTGATGAGCACCTGCTCCATCTCTCTTCATCCTCTGGGTTCAAGACCTGCATCCTTCCTGTCCTGAGAGCACCAGCAGCGCCAAACCTCATAGTCCAAAATCTCAGCACTTTGCCCTATTAAAACAGAATCAAACACAATTTTTAAAAACTACTTGAGTACTTTCATTTTTTTATTTCATTTTATTTTTTGAGACAGAGTCTCAATCTGTTGCCCAAGATGGAGTGCAGTGGCATGATTTCAGCTCACTGCCACCTCTGCTTCCTGGTGTCGGGTTCAGGTGATTCTCCTGCCTCAGCCTCCCAAGTAGCTGGGATTACAGGTCAGTGCCACCACATCCGGGTAATTTTTGTATTTGTAGTAGAGACAGGGTTTCACCATGTTGGCCAGGCAGGTCTCAAACTCCTGACCTCAGGTAATCCACCTGCCTCAGCCTCCCAAAGTGCTGGGATTATAGGTGTGAGCCACCGTGCCTAGCCACTTGAGTACTCTTATAGGCAAGTATGTGAGTGAGTTCCAAAGTAATTAAAACTCACGGCATGTATCACTTTCCAACATACCATATAATTTATTTATTCTAATTTTTATTGTTTATCATCTCCACCACCTGTCCTATATCCCAGGTAGAATGTAAGCTCCGTGGGGGCAGGGATTTTTGTTTGGTTCTCTGATGATTCCCAGCATCTAAAACAGTGCCTGGCACAAAGAAAGTGCTCAATAAATATTTGTTGAATGAATGAACAGTCAGATCTTGCTGTGAAGTAGTTTATAATCTAGTAGGAACCGAAAACACAAGAATGCTGTACGGTAAGGTGTTGGCAGCTGATTTAGTGGGCAATGGGAAGCCCAAGGAGGCTCCTGAGTGAGGTTTTGAACACACTGACAAACTGTTGGATAAACTGTAGGAAAATGAGTTGAGAGAGTCTAAAGAAAAGAAAGGCTGGTCAGGGAGCCATTACAATAGCCGAGGACAAGTGTGACCATGGCCTGTGGAAGAGGTAGATGGCAATACATTGTCTCTGATGTGAAATCTCTGGTGTCAAAGTCCTAGTGGACTATTTCCCCTCATTCAGATATCCAAAGGCTTTCCATCAAGAGAACAGAGAGGCAAGAAAAGATTAGGCCATTTTCATAGGGTTTCCCAGGACTGAGTGAGCAGTATGAGGTCCAGAGCCTTCACCCCATGCCCTGTAGCTGCCCCATTTAAGGTCTAGGAAAATCCAAAGGTAGAGAAGGAGAAAATCTTAGATGGAAGGGAATGAGCATTAGCAGGTTTTTTTTTGAGACGGAGTTTTACTCTTGTTGCCCAGGAGTGCAGTGGCGCAGTCTTGGCTCACTGCAACCTCTGCCTCCCAGGTTCCAGCTATTCTCGTGTCTCAGCCTCCCTAGTAGCTGGGATTACAGGCACACACCACCATGCCCAGCTAATATTTGTATTTTTAGTAGGGATGGGGTTTCACCATGTTGACCAGGATGGTCTTGAACTCCTGACCCCAGGTAATCTGCCCACCTCAGCCTGCGAAAGTGCTGGGATTACAGGCATCAGCCACCATGCCCAGCCTTTTAGCAGGTTTTAAAAATACCCTTCTGTATGCCAAGACTTCAAGTTAGTGCTTAAGATGCATAATCTTCTTTATTATATTAAATAATATGATATATTCTGAGTTAGAGAAGACGCTCATCCCTTTTACAGATGAAACACCCTGGAGAGCCAGGTGTGGTGGCACGTGCCTGTAGTGCCAGCTACTCGGGAGTCTGCGGTGGGAGGATCGCTTGAGTCCAGGAGTTCCGGGCTGTAGCGTGCTATGCCGATCGGGTGCCCACACTAAGTTCGGCATCAATATGGTGACCTCCCGGGAGCGGGGAACCACCAGGTTGCCTAAGGAAGGGTGAACCAGCCCAGGTCAGAAACAGAGCAGATCAAAACTCCCGTGCTGATCAGTAGTGGGATCGCGCCTGTGAACAGCCACTGCACTCCAGCCTGGGCAACACAGCGAGACCCTCTCTAAAATAAATAAATAAATAAATAATAAATAAAAGAAACACCCTGGAGAATGTGAGGTCTTAAGGTCACACAACTAGGAAGTGGCTCGGTCTGTATTTGGCTCCCAAACTCCTGCTTTTTGCAGTACACCTCTTTCCTGGGACTTCCTTTCCTGTTACGTACTAGGTTTCCTTGCTTCTCCTCCCCTCCTCATGCAGCCACCTCTTTCAACTGCCTGGCTCACCTTGAATCTACTGCATCATCTAGGCCTTCCTCTTCCCAGTTCTTCCTCCATGCTCTTCATCCACCTGCCTACAGCACACCCCGTCCCTCTCCATTTGCCTCAGCCCCCTGTGCATTGGACACCATGTGGCTATAAGGGTGGAGGGGTTGAGAGCTGGCTCACTCAAGGTTCCAATTTTGTTGGGCCCTAAAACACACTCCCTCATGGGCTCACACCCAGGCAGGATGCCTTAAGACTTCATGCAGTTGGCCATGATTCCCCTCCCCAAGCCTGGGATGTCCCCTACATCTCCAAGGCAGCACTCCTGATTGTTTCCAATGAGCAGGGACCATCCCTTGATGGTCCCTTCCTCAAAGTCTGTTTCCTCTGTAGGATGGTCCTTCCACATGGTGAGAGTAATTGGGAAGAGTAACAATCATTAATTTTTTTTTTTTTTTTTTGAGACAAGGTCTCGCTCTGTCGTCCATGCTGGAATGCAGTGGTGCCATCTCAGCTCAGGCAACCCCCGCCTCCCAGGTTCAAGCGATCCTCCTGCCTCAGCCTCCTGAGTACCCGGGATTACAGGCATGTGCCACCACACTCAGATAATTTTTGGATTTTTAGTAGAGACAGAATTTCCCCAGGCTGCTTTTAACTGGCCTCATGTGATCTGCCCGTCTCTGCCTCCCAAAGTGCTGGGATTACAGGTATGAGCCACCACACCCAACTACAATCATTAATCTTAAAATAAATGTAGGAGAACCAGGGCAGAGGTAAGGGATACCAAAGGAGGGCAGAGAGTCTTCCTTCTTGGTCCTCAACCAACTTGTTGGGAATCCCCTTGAGGCTGCCACCTGGGGTCCCATGGAAGAAACGGGGAAGGGGAGGTTAATCTCACAAAGGAAGGCCGTGGACAAAGTGGGGTAATTCTCATCATGTTCTTTGCCAGAGGAGCATGGAAAGCTCTGGAAGGTGAACTTTCTCACTCAGGGTTTGGGGAATCCCAGGGGATCTCAGAACTTTGGAATCAAACAAATCTGGGCACTAATTTCAACTCTCTCACTTCTTGGCAAAGTGGCTTCAACAAATTTCTTGACCTCTCTGATCCTCTGTTTTCTCCTCTGTGAAATGGGGCTTATCATACCCACTTACTGAGTTATTGCGAGGGTCAAGGAGCCCACCTTTGAAAGGTACTCTAGAGGCCCCATAAATGGGAGCTCTTTCCAAGAGCATGGGGAGGTGAGGCCATTGGTAAACTCTGCCTGTGATGCCCAAGGGGAGTGATTCCGGAAGACGTGAAGGTCTCCAGGTGAATCCTCACCCAGACAGAGCTCTGCCAGCAATCAGAACTAGGACCACGGGAGGAGGTGAGCAAGGCAAGCTGGGCACGTTTCCATGGTGCTAGGTCAAGCAGGCAGTCTTCAGGGGCAGCGACTGGCCTGTTGCCCTCTGGGGGCACTCTTTCCCCACTAGGCCCATGTCCATCCCACAGATCAAGGAGGAGATGGAAAAGTGCATGACAGGAGAAAGCTGGATGGAGAACCAAGCAATGGAGAAAGGGCAAGGGAGGAGGCTGGAGGGGAAGCGAGGGCCCAGGCAGGCACGGGGTGGGGCTGGGAGAGGGGCCCAGGGCAGGAGGGCGGGAGAGAGCCTGGGAGGGAAAGCGCCGACCAGGGAGGGAGGAGGGACAGGGAGGGAGGCCGGTGGCGCTGACACAGCCTCGATGTGTGGAACGGGCTGGGGTTTGGCCCACAGGTCAGGCGTCTGGCAGTATTATGGGATGGAGAGGCCTTAGGAGACAGGGAGAGTATTATGGGCTGGAACAGCCTTAGGAGACTGGGGAATATTATGGGCTGGTGAGGCCCGGCTCCAACTGGAGGCGGGAGGAAGGGGTGCGGGGCGGGAAGGGGGGGTGGTGGTGGAAGGGAGTATTATGGGCTGGAGGCCTCCTGCGACCAGAGGCAAGAGTATTATGGGCTGGCAAGGCCTTCGGTGGCCAGAGGGGGGAGCAGCGGGGGATGGCACCGGCTGCATGTGACTGAGGGGGGGCCAAGTTGGGGGGGTGGTGAGTGGGGGTGGGGGAGCTTATTATGGGATAGCTCTTTGTACCTACTGCGGGGACTGCTTCTCCAGAAGATATTATGGGATGTCGTATGTGGGAGGGGGAGTGGGGCTTGGGGGATTATTATGGGATGGTGATGCAGAATGGGGAGGGCCTGAGGAGCTCTTCTCCAGCGCCCCCACCTCCTTACCCCTTACTCTCCTATCATCCTCTCTAAGGTCAGCCTCCTCTCTCAAATGCCCCAAGCGGAACACCTGAAACCCATCTCCCTACACACACAGACTTTGGGCACCTCAACCCATCCCAGGCATCTCTCCTAACTAGCAGCCACCTCCGGGGTGCTGAGGGCAAAAGTAGCCCCTGGCGAATAAGGAGAAAGCCCCAAAGCTGGGTGGTGGTGGCCAGTGGATCACACCTCCCACCTGCACAACGGCCTCCTCTGCTCCCTAGCCCCTTATGCCACCCTCCTTCCCCTTCTCCCTGCCTCCAACAAAGTGGGGGCCCTGGATCCTTCTCCCCTCCCCCCTCCCCTCCATTTCCTCTCCAGCTCACTCCACAGCCGTAACCAGTAAAACAGGCGGCCAGCTATTATGGGATGGCTGCTCCCAGCAGCTCTGCAGGGAGGGGGCGGTCACCGCGGAATGTCTCTTGTGGGTGGCTATTATGGGATGGCCGCCTCTCTTTTTTGGGGGGGTAGGGGCTAACGAGGAGAATTATTATGGGATGTGCCCTGCACAGCTGGGTGGGGCTCTCCAGGGTAGGTGAAGCTCTAGGGAGGGGTGGGGAGGGAGAAGGAAGGAAGAGGGAGGGAAGGAGCTGGGGAGGGTGGGGTGAGCCCTGGAGCTGGACCCAAGGCCTGGCAGGAGTAACTGGCTGGAGAGGTTTCTTTGGTGACAGCTGTTTGAAGGGGCCCCTGGGGCAGTCTTCAGCGAGCCAAATCTGAACCCTGGACACCTGGGTCCTTTAAACAGCTTGTGCGCTGCAGGGTTGCCCAGTGAGTCCGGGGCCTGCAGTGCTGCACTGCAAGTGAGAACTGAAAGGTTCTGGCCGAGTGGCATACCAAGGGAGTAGTCCTCCTGGATGGCCGTAGTTCCCCATCTCCCTTCCATCTTTGTCTTCCTGGGTTTGAGCCCGGGGACCACAGCTCAGGCTGGGGGGGTTGTACACGGGGCGCTTTGCTACCTTGCAGTCACTCCCAAAGAACAGAGGCTAGGTTGCCTCCTGAGATACAAACACCTGGCACGTCACCCCCAAGCCCCACGTGCACTGCATCCTGTCTAGCCTTTGGAGTGCACTGTCACTGTGGCTTTTCTTTCCTCTGTTGTCTTCCAAAATCCTCTTTTCTGACACAGCAGGAGAACACTTAAGCAAGTTTTTTGGGTTCATGCAAAACAGAGGTGTATGGAGAGGAATTACAGAGCAAATGCTAAAAACTCCATGAACAGCCCGGTCTGAGCGTTATTCTAGATTCTACCGTACCATGGGATGAAAAGAGAACTCTAAGGTAACTGGCTAGAGAGGCTGCCCTCCTGGGTGCATTAATTAGGAGATTATCCCACCCTTAGTCTCTGTGGGCCAATCATGCTAGTGGTTTATTTATAATTTATCTGGGAGGGTAGCATGGGGCTTACTGGAGGGAGGGGGAGCATAGAAGCATCAGGACCTCAAAGCAACACACCAGTACACACCTCCGAGCCCTTTCTGGAACTCCAGAAGAGTGAAAGGGATTTTAACCTTCTGTTGTGGTGTCAGGGAGAAGTGGGGAGCAAGAGCAGCAAAGGAAGAAGTGGGTAGAACCTACAGGAATAGGGGCACAGGGTGATTAGTGGACAAAGGATATCTGCATTTTTAGTCACAGGCAGGAGGCTGTGACTACCCAGTTAAACACTCTCTTACTGGTTTATATGGACAAATCACTGTGGAAATGAGAGTACGGGCATGGGCAGCTGCAGATGTTGTAGAGGGGAATTTGAGGCCCGGAGACAGGCTGGATCCCCTGGAGAAATAGGGGTAGAAGTGGGCACAATAGGCATCTGGCAGCCTCTGTAGGAAGGAAAACTTCCCTGAAGGGAGGTGTCCCCACATCATGGCATCTGAAAAGAGCTGCCTCCTCACCCCCCATGGTGGAGCACAAGTTTCATTCTTAGTACTCAGAATAAGTATGGGAGAGGCTTGAGTAAGTAAATGGGGCCCCGTCTTGATGCCCAGAGCATTTAACGAGGGAAATTGGAAGCCTTGCAGAATGGGGGAGCATGGCCCGATTACCACGAGCGCAGCAAGAGGGTGGGCCAGGGAGCTGAAGGGGAGGTTGGAAAAGGAAACACCAACTTCAAACGTGACAGTGGGAGCTTTTGACAGGACCTGAGGTCTTTGATGCCAAAAACTGCAGTCCTAAGATGAGAAGAAAGTTAAATGTGGAATGCTAGTGGGTCTACAAAGTCAGGCAGGAGCCCCGGGAAGACTTGTCTGTGTCCGTGCGCTCTGCTCTGGAGCAGAGGGATGGTAATTCCCTGAGGCAAGCTCTTGTCTTTCCTGAACTCATTTCTTTTTGCCAATTCTCCAGTCCCTTGGATCCTAGAGAAAGGGAGAGTCATCTGGCCAGGCTTTACTCTAGGGAAATGAGATGAGAAGGGCAGATATGGTATGAGGTTCATCCCACTTACTACTGGTCAGGAAGGGCCCTTTCTGCAAGGAAGTCGCTGTTTCTCTTCAACCCGTTTCACTTCTATAGGTCTTGGACCCATACAAAAAGTCACATGAGCAGAGGGAGACATTATCTGTGGCCGGGTGTCAGGGCAGCAAGGCAGTGGTGCTGGGACATTGGTTTTCACTCAAGTCCTGAATCTCTGGGAGTCAGGAAGAGGGAAAAGTGACAGTCTGATGGGCTCCGTTTTTCTGACGGCCAAAGGGTTTTAAGATTGGGCTCTTTCCTAAGGCGGGAAGATCGCTTGAGTCCAGGAGTTCAAGACCAGCCTGGCAACATAGTGAAACCCCCTCTCTACAAGAAATTTTAAAATTAGCTAGTCGTGGTGATGTAAGCCTGTGGTCCCAGCTACAGGTGGGAGGCTGAGGTGGGAGGATCACTTGAGCCCAGGAGGTCGAGGCTGCAGTGAGCTGTGATTGCGACACTGAGACCCTGTCTCAAAAAAAAAAAAAAAAAAAAGATTGGGTTCTTTCAGCTTCTAGGGTTGGGTCCCAAGGGTAACTGGAAGGTGGGTACACTTAGGGAAGGGGATGGTATATGCTGTAGGGCTACCTTGGGGCATAATTAAATGTAGAAGGCCTTCTGGAATGTTGACTTCTATATAGGCAGGGGAAGATGGAGAACATTATACAACTGAAGTTTGTTTTTTTTTTAGTTGGAGTTTGCCTCTTGTTGCCCAGGCTGGAGTGCAGTGGTGTGATTTCAGCTCACTGCAACCTCTGCCTTCCGAGTGCAAACGATTCCCCTGCCTCAGCCCCCCAAGTATAGCTGGAATTACAGGCATGTGCCACCATGCCCAGCTAATTTTGTATTTTTGGTAGAGACGGAGTTTATCCATGTTGGTCAGGCTGGTCTCAAACTCCTGACTTCAGGTGATCTGCCTGACTCGGCCTCCCAAAGTGCTGAAAGTACTGGGATTACAGGCATGAGCCACTGCGTCAGGCCATATATATATATATTTTTTGAGGTGGAGAATGGGGCCTGAACAAGATGAGGATGGAGGCCATTGGAATTATTGTGAGACTTCAAGATATAAAATGGGAAAGTGCCTGAAAAATATGAGACATTGAGGTTAAGCAGGATTTGGAGTTCAAGAATGAGTGAAACAATGCTGGCATATTGTGGAGTCTCTTAAGAAGTAGTGGTGGCTCACGCCTGTAGTTCCAGCTACTGGGGAGGCTGAGGTAGGGGAATCGTTTGAACCTGTGAGTCAGAGGTTGCTGTGAGCCGAGATCGTGCCACTGCACTCCAGCCTTGCGACAGAGCAAGACTCCATCACACACACATACACACACACATACACACACACACACACAAAATAGGAGGAAGGGCATGAACATACTATAGGATTTCAGTATTAGTAATGCTGAATGCATTAGCATTGCTTTCCGCTAGTAAGGGAACAGATAGGAGATTGTCTTGACCATGGTCTATACCCATAAATCCTTGAAGTAACTTCCAGCTCCAGAAGGACCAGTAGGACATATCCTACTGGGATATGTTCTCTCTTGGGACCAGCGGGATTTTTCTGTAACAGGAAATTGGGAAATAGCACTCAGTAGTTCTGCCTTGGCACCATTCTGTGGTGTATTGTTTGCTTGGTGGTTTATGCTTTTTGAAGGGAGGCACCCATGGTCTTCCTTGCTTCTCCATGGTGCCCAGCTCAGCCTTGTTAGGTACTCTGTCAACATAGGTTGAATGAACATGAGTAGTGGTGAGTAGGGGGAGGGTGTGCCTCCACTCTTGGTGTGTACAGAGCAGGATCCTCAGTTCACATCGTGATGGGATGTCCATCCGCAGGAATGGCCTAGGGGTGTTGGTGAAAGGCCCCTTACCTGGGGGTGTTGTGAGGGGGAGGGAGGAGTGCTAGATGTTGAGAGATAGTCTTGGGATGAAAGTTGCTAATTATTATGGGATGCTGTAGAGTGAATTAGACTTCATGTAAATGTTTCATCTGTCAGCTTGGTATTTTGGCTGGTTGGTGTTCCTTAAAACTTAGGAGCTGGAGGTAAGCATCTGGAAAATACCTGGATTTTGGTGGGATTGGGTGAGGCCCTAGGTGAGCTCCTGGCCCCTGAGTGTCTGGAAATGATGGTATGAGGGAAGCTGGGTTCCAGACATCAGGAGGCTTTTTTCCAGGATACTGCTTTGGCCCAGAAAAGGATTAAGGTGTGTGCAAGTGGGGGCGGGGACAGGGAAGCGTGGGTAGCCTGCCTGGCCCTCCCTGCTCGAGGTGTTAGAATAGACTGACAGCGCCTGGAGATGGGGGTGGGAAGAATATGAATATTATGGGATGCCTGGCTCCAAGGGTATAGGGGTGGTGGAGTGGAGATGAAGCATTATGGGATGTGACACTGGGTTGTGTTGGGAGTATTATGGTATGTTTGGTTGACCACGGGCTCCTTGCAATTATTATGGGATGTCAGGATGTGGGTAGGAGAGTAAAATTATTATGGGATAGCTTTCCAGTGTTAAAGGAAAAGAGATTAGATGTCCGTCCATCTGTAGGGCGACAGTAGGGCAGTTGATCATTATGGGTTATCTTTTTGATAGAGGAGGGGTACTTATCATAGACTATGAAGCTAGGAGAGGGAAGGCTGGGGGTGATGTGAGCCTCTAGACCCTAGCCTGCAGGGACTGAGGGCAGCTCCAGGGGGTTAGCTATTATGGGATGTCAGTATAGAAAGTGGGAGACTGATTATTACGGGATGTGTGTGGGAGGAGGCCGAGTGTCCGTTGTTGTAGTATGGGGGGGGTGAGTTTCTGACTATTATGGGATATCAAACTGGGGGTGGATGGAGAGTGGTTATTATGGGATGTCTGTGGGGGATGGGGATGAGTATTATGGGATATAAGGCATAAGTGCCGGGAGGGCTGCTTATTATGGGATGGCCATGGGGAGGGAGGGGTGATGAATTATTATGGGATGTTAGCATTAGGGCCAAGAGTGAAGAAGTTGGCAAAGGATGGCTATTATGGGATGTCTAAGAGGGTTAGTTGCAAAAGGTCTGCAATATCATGAGATGTCAGTAGCCCCTGGTATATATGTGTATGAAATGTGAAGGGGGGCGGGGTGCGTGTTGTGTGTATGTGGGGGGAGTGTCCGTGTGTATTATGGGATGGCCAGGAGGTGGGCGGTTGCCCAGGTGACACGCGCGCGCGCGCTCGAAGGGGCGTGGCCAGTGGTTGCCTGAGCGACGAGGGGGCGGGGGTTGCCCAGGAGACCTGGGGAGGAGGGTGGCGGTAGTGGAGGGGGGGTTGGAGTTGGTTGAGGTTATTATGGGCTGTCCGTGGGGGGGCGGGGCCTGTGCGGTGGGATTTCCCGGCCGGTGTTTCAGGCCCTTTAAGAGGCGACGCCGGAGCCGGAGCCATTTTCCCCCCTTCGGCCGCGGCGAGGAGGAGTCGGAGCGGGAGTGACACCAGGCCGGACCCAGCGCGACCTGCGGCGGCTCCGGGGTGAGGAGAGCGCGGGTTCCCAAAAAGACGCCCCTCACCGCCCGACCAGCCCAGAGGGTCATCCCGTCACCCACCCCTTCGTCAGGCGTCCCCCGACCCGCAGACCGCCCCTTGCCCGGAGGAGCCGACCCTTCCTTTCCTGGCCCTGCAGGGCGCCCGGCCTCCTCCCAGCCCCCGCCCTAACGCTGCCGGAGTCTTGCTCCCCGCGACCCTCCGCCTCCGGCTTGGTCTCCCACAATGCCCGGCGTCCGCCCCCTCGCCCTTTGATCACTTGCCCCCCGGGACACACGTGGCCCGGCCCCCTTCCCGGTGGGACGCTCTCGTCCCCCGCGTCCCTGCCTCCGGCCCCCCGCAGTGCCCGAGCCTCCACGCCCCCTCGTCCCCGCACCTCTTGAGGAGAACCTGAGTTGTCCCAGAGGACAGCCTTTGGAGAGCTGCCCTGTCTGGGGACTGGCCCCTCCCCGGGCGCAGGGAGGCGCCCCCCCACCCCCAAGTGACCTTGTGTCCCCGAGCGCCTTGTTGCCTGCTGCCTCCCCTGGCCCCCCCCCCGCGCCGCTACCACTCGGACCCCCTCCCCCGTCACACCCCGCTCGGTCCAGCCCGGCGTCTTCCCTCCCCGCGCCTGCACCAGCCTGCCCTCGGAGGCGTAGCTCCCTTGCTCCGTGGGGGCGCCTGCCGGGGAGCCGGCTTCCGGGCTGCCCCCGAGGAGTGTGGAACTAAGTTCAGCCTGAGCGGTTCGGGTGCCCTGCTAGGGTGGCTGGGGTGGGGGGCGGAAAGAGCGGGTGGGTGTGGGGGAGGGGGACAGTGCGCGTCACTGACTGTGCTCTCTTTCTCCCCCCTCCCCCGCACAGTGACTCGGGCCAGTGTAGAGGGCCCCAGGCCGCCGGCAGGAGCAGCTGGGCCAATTCCCTGGCCCGGAGCGGAAGGGGATGGCGTCGGGCCTGGGCTCCCCGTCCCCCTGCTCGGCGGGCAGTGAGGAGGAGGATATGGATGCACTTTTGAACAACAGCCTGCCCCCACCCCACCCAGGTAACATCTTCCCCAAGGGCCCTGGGTGGGAAGGAGGCATTTGGATTCTCCCAAGTGACGACTCTGGGGAGGCAGGGCTGTGTTGCTCAGCTGTCTCTGTGCAGAGCCGAAGGTGGAGGGCATCCGAAGGGAGTGGTTCCCTTCTGCGGAGCTCTGGTGTGAGGGGGGTGGAAGCCATGTGCCTCCTGGGCACCGCGGACGGAGATGCCAGCTTGCTGCACTCTGTCTTGAGGAATGCTCTGCAGCTCCCAGTTGAGGGAGCTCTCTGGGCCGGCAGGCATTACCTTGTGTGTGGGTCCTCGGAGGAATGCAGGTAGTTGGGACCCCTGGAGGTTTGTGGTGGTGGTGGTGGAGGGGGACGTTGAGGATTCTGAGAAGACCAGCCGGGCGTCTGTGCTAGTAGGATCCTGTGGTTGCCTCTGTGGAAAGGAAAGAGGGAGTGCTGGTTACACTATCTGATTATTTTTAGCTTCTGATCAGTTACCGGTTTTCTGTGCTGTCTCAACTGTGTGAAGTTTGAATCGCGCTCCTCAGCGTGATCTGGAGCGCTTTTAGCCAGGCAGATTGCTGGAATGTTTTGAGTGGGGGAGTGATGGGGGCTCGGAGAGGATGTAATAGCCGAGCGAGGAGGGGCAAAAGAAGGGAGGGCACCCCTCTTCTCCTGGCTAGTGGACATAATTCTGGCTTTTTTCCTGGCAGCTTCTGCCTCTGTGAGGGAGCCTGGGGTTTAGGCCGGCAGTGTGAAGTGCCTTGTGTAGGTGTGCTAGAGGTTGCACTATCTGTGTTTTGGGGTGGCTCCATGAACTGGCCAAACCC